GACCGGAAGCTCCAGCTCCTTTGAGCATGAAATGTCTCAGGAAGGCTTCAGCGCGGCCATCACCTCTGTAAGTGCTCTCCCACTGACGGGTGGATGTGGGGCCAGAGGAAGTCAAAGAAGAGGTGAAGGTGGGGGGGCTCTTTGTGACGGTTTCTGGTGGGGAGGGACCTCTTTGTTGGGCAGCTGTGGTCCCTTCTCCTTATGACCCTGTTCAACCTCTTTTCCCAGAACGGCCCCTTACTGGGCTCTGTGGGCAGCTTTGACTGGGCCGGGGGAGCCTTTCTGCATACATCAAAGGGAAAAGTCACATTCATCAACACCACCAGAGTGGATTCAGACATGAATGATGCTTACCTGGGTAAGTGGAGAAAGGCCATGCTTCTCCAAGAAGAAGCAAGGGTGCAGTGTACTGAACTAGTGCAGATTCTGCTGGATCTATCTGTAGGACAGCTGTAAAGTCAGAAACTTCAATAGCCAGGTGTGGTACAATGCCTACAATCCCAGCACTTTGGGAGTCTGAAGCAGGAAGATCTCGAATAGCCCTGCCTGGGCCATTTAGCGACTCAGCGAAACCCTGTCTCAAAATGAAAAATAAAAAAGGACTGGGGATGTAGCCCAGTGGGAAGGCTTGGGTTTGGTGCCCAATACTGGGGCAAAATATGTTCACAGAGAGGAATGTAGCACAGGGCTCAGTTACCATAGCCCGCCATGCGCAGGGCTGCCCCGTTGCCCCTACCCAAGGCTGGGCCCACACGACAGCAAGGGCGGCGGGGCCTGGCGGGGAAGCACTTGCTCTAAGGTCGCCTTCTTCAGGTTATGCTGCTGCAGTCATCTCGAGGAGCAGGGTGCAGAGCCTGGCTCTGGGGGCGCCTCGGTATCAGCACACTGGCCTGGTGGTGATGTTCAGACAGAACGCGGGCACCTGGGAGACCAGCGCCAACATCCAGGGCAGCCAGGTGAGTGGAACGTGCGCAGGGTGGACCCGCAGGCTGGGAGGCTCGGGCTGACCTGTCCCGCTGTCACGCGGGGGCAGGGGGCGAGGGGCCTCAAGGAGACTCCGCGGTCGGCTCTGCAACAGCAAGCGAGAACGTTTGGTTTGTACCGAGCTCTCTATGATTCTACCTGTATCCAGAACTAGTATTCAACCAGTACATACGTTTTTCAACCAGTACGTAATTTAAAGAATGTTGCAGCAATTCCACATCTGTGATGGCTCTGTCCTTAACCCGGTTTCCTCCATCCAGGGACATGGGAGTGGACTGTGGTGCGCTACGTGAGGGAACAGTGGCACCGGGTCCCAGGTGTCCTAAGTGGGAGGAGCCAGTTCCAAAGGCTGCATCCCATAACAGGCTGTTCACATAACATTCTGGAAGAGCAAAATTACAGAAGGCAAATAGATTAGTGGTCACCAGGACTGGTGAGCTGGGGAAAGGCTGTGATGAGTAAGAGCGAATATTTTGGGAATGGATGAAACTTCTATAACTTGACTTCTATTACTTGGTGGTTAGATGACTTTATAGGTTGTGAAAACTCTAAAACTGTGTACTAAAAAGGCTGACTCTATATGTAAAGTTCACCCCAATAAACCTGACCTAAAAGTGGGCTGTCTGTTAGCCTCCCCTCATGCTGCTGTGAGTCGTGCTATGATGTCCTCCGTACATTTCCTTCCTAGAACTTAGCCAGGTTGAAAACTGCCACATTTCTGTGTCTGCTACCCAGCCGTGTGCAAATAACAAACCTTGTTTGCTGAACGAATCGATGGATAATTAAATGGAGAAATCCCATGGCTGAATTCTACATATTGACATTGGCCATAGTTTTAAAAATTTTATACTGAGGAGTGGGTGAAGGGAAAGCAGGGGAATGGGGAAAAAATGAGAACCAAGACCTGTCATGTAAAGGTGCAAGGTCCCAGTGATGAATGTAACTGTACTGTGTACTTAATAAGTACCAATAAACTCAATAAAAATTTTTGTAATGATAGGTAGACCTTATTTCTCAATATCACACAAAAATTCCCCAGTGGTCGTCGTTGTTTTTAATCCAGCCAGTCGGTGCTTTAGTACTTAATAAGTACCAATAAACTCAATAAAAATTTTTGTAATGATAGGTAGACCTTATTTCTCAATATCACACAAAAATTCCCCAGTGGTCGTCGTTGTTTTTAATCCAGCCAGTCGGTGCTTTATTAGTTAGACTGCCAACTTCAACCCTCCCCAAGACTTGCACTATACTGAAAGGGTATGCTGTCTGCTCTTGTAGGTTTTTCTGTTAGAGTGAGTCCAAGCCCACTGCCCCCTGACTCTATAATGTGCTCCTCTAGTTGGCAGCACATTCAAATAAGAATCTAAAATGAATCATCTAAAAATCACATCCTCTCCAAAACATTTTCCTCTGCGGCATGACGTCCTCTTCATGGAAAGAGCACCCCTGTGCCCCGCCTTGGGTGGGAAGGTGCGTGAGACTCTGGCCGTCTCTTTCAGATCGGCTCCTACTTTGGAGCCTCCCTCGGCTCCGTGGACGTGAACAATGACGGCAGCACTGACCTGGTCCTCATTGGGGCCCCCCATTACTACGAGTCCACACGAGGGGGCCAGGTGTCTGTGTGTCCCCTGCCCAAAGGGGTGAGTGCTGGTGGGACCTTGGCTGGGGTTCGGGTGTGGGTGGAAGGTTTGTGTACTTTGGGGCCCGACACTGTTTCTGTTTAACAGAGGGCTCGGTGGCGATGTGACGCTCTTCTCCGTGGGGAGCAGGGCCATCCCTGGGGCCGCTTTGGGGCAGCCCTGACAGTGCTG